AGGAATTATCAGCTCATAACCCTAGGACAGACAAGTTGAGTGTTAACTCCAAGACAAAGGTAGCATCCAGAATAGTGAGAGCTCATTAGAACCCCAGATGAGGGTTCATATCCTAGTCCACCATTTTAGTAGCTGTGTGACTTTAGGTAAGTCACTTACCTTCTCTGAGCCCATTTTTACATGACATTAGTTCCAACAAAAATATTATTTCCAGTCGGGAACAGTGGCTCATACCTATAATCTTAACTCTCTGAGAGGTAGAGGGAGGAGGATCCCTTGAGGTCAGGAGTTTAAGAGCAGCCTGAGCAAGAGCAAGACCTCATCTCTACTAAAAATAGAAAAATTAGCCAATAGTGGTGGTGGGCACCCATAGTCTCAGATACTTGGGAGGCTGAGGCAGGAGGATCACTTGAGCCCAGGAGTTTGAGGTTGCTGTGAGCTGTGATGACACCACTGCACTGTAGCTGGGGTGACAGAGTGAGACTCTGTCCCCAAAAATATATTATTTCCCTTGCAAGATGTACTCATTTAGCAGCTATTTATTGAGCAAGTTGGCTGAGGATCTGTGGATGTGATATTTATATAAATACTATAAGTGAAAGTTTGTTTTTTAAACTGTCATGTCATCACTTGATTATTAAAGTGAGAAAGGGTCCAGATCATTTCTGGTCATAGTAGACAGATGTCAGAATTTTATCTGCAGCAAGAAGATTTATAATGTAGCCCCTTTCCACTGGTCACTCAAGTGTAAGTAGAAGGATTCCCAGACTCCAGATTTTGGCATCCCTGAGGAAAATGGAGAATGGCAGAGGTAAAACCACAACTCAAAATTTGTTAAAGGACTCTTCATCAAAACAAAGAAGGGCTCATTTAGGAATCACTGAGATGTTCCAGCCCAGATTAGACTGAATCATAGCTGCTTTTTCTACTTTTGCTGTCTGACTGAAGGGCAGAGGCTGGGGTGTTGGATGAAAAGAAATACTTTTTTTCTGAAAGAGGTTTGTGGAAAAAAAAAGTATGTTAAAAGTTCAAGATACAATGGGATCATGACTGGGTTAAATGAACTGCTGGCTGGAGATCCCCTAAATCAGGGGTTTTCATTTTTTTTAGAGTATCAAAGAGACCGGGCGGTGCCTATGGCTCAAAGGAGTGGGGTGCCAGCCCCGTATGCTGGAGGTGGTGGGTTCAAGCCCAGCCCTGGCCAAAAACTGGAAAAAAAAAGAGAGTGAGACCAACTGAATAGTCTGAAAAAAAAAGAGTGAATTTTGGGGCAGATAGGAATGTGTGTGTGTGTGTGTGTGTGAGAGAGAGAGAGAGAGAGAGAGAGACTAGATAAACATCTCAGAAAGCAGAAGAGGAGTTAGGGCAACCAATGGTGGAATGATTGACTGTATTCCAGATGCAAATGTTAGGTTGCATGGCTTCTCTGAGAGAGTTCTGGAGTCTCAAGGCAGATGCCTTCACCACCACCCTAAGGTTCACAGGGTGCCTGATACCAGGACAAACACCTGACCAAGAACAGTTATAGGGTGGACTGTGTGGCTTCTCTACCACAACAGATTGGGACATGACTGCCAATTACCCAAAAATCATAACATAGGGTGAAGGGGATTCAGTTTTTTTTTTTTTTTGTGTGTGTGCGTATGTGCATGTGTGACATAAATCCTGAGCATCTATTATGGTATTTGGGGATGTGTGTGGAAGCCCCACTTTGGAATTAGATCGCTATTTTGTTCAGATCTTGACTCTGTTATTCTCTTGCTGAGTGATGCTGGATAAATCAGTAAACATCTCAAAGCTCTGTCTTCTGATCCAAATTAAAAAAAGAAAGAAAGAAAGAAAGAAAGGAAGGAAGAAAGAAAGAAAAGAATTCAGCAACATAATAAACCCTGTGGGCAATGTTTTTAAATTGTAATAAAATATACAAAAAATTTATCATTTTAACCATTTTAAGTGTACAGCTCATTGGCATTAAGTACATTCCTATGGTTGTGCAACCATCACCACCATTCAGCTCCAGAACTTGAGAGTAAGAGCACTAAGCATGTAGAACATTTATCCCAATGCCTGCCACTAAGTCAGCACTCAGTCGGTGTCAACTCTTATCATAGTGGGGATACTCAAGTGGACAGAACAGGACCAGATTCATTTGGGCACTTAAATAGCACTTGACAGGGATCTTAAGTAAATGTTATTTTACCAGCTTGGGGATACCTGATGACTGGGGGCAACTTTTTGGTCTTAAGTTGGTAGCAAATAAAAGGTATTCATTTTTTACCTGTATAGAGACATAGAAATAGTGGAATGTTCCCAGGATTTATGATCTATCTGAGCTCAATATAATTAAAAAGAAATATCTAGAAGAAAAGTTGATGGCTCAGCACCTGTATCTCAGTGGTTAGGGTGCTGGCCACATACACCCGAGTTGGTGGGTTCAAACCTGGCCCAGGCTAGCTAAACAACAATGATATCTGAAACAAAAAATATCTGGTTGTTGTGGCAGGCACTTGTAGTCCAAGCTATCTGAGAGGCCGAGACAAGAGAATTGCTAAAGCCCGAGAGTTTGAAGTTGCTGTGAGCTGTGATAGCATGGCACCCCACTGAGGGCAACATCATGAGACTATCTCAAAAAAAAAAAAAGTTGATGAGTGAGATCTCTATAATTCATGCTAAACTCATCTTTGCGGAAAATTGAAGCTGGAGGCTCTCAACTGGGGGTGATTTAGCAATGTCTGGGGCCATTTTTACTTGTCGTGACTTGGATGGGGAGAGTGTTACTGTCGTCTAGTGGATAGAGGAGGTAAAGAATGCTGTTAAATATTCTATAATTTTCAGACAGCCTCACAACAAAGAATTATCCATCCACAAATACTGCCAAGGTGGAAAATCCTTTTGTAAGCCAATGGAATTGGAGAAGGGAATGAATGGATTTTAAAGACCATAATTTAATGTCAATTAAAGGGGCAGTTGGGTTTCTACCCAGTAAGGACAAGGTCATTACAGGACTACACTGAAGAGGTTGAGCTGGGGAGGGTCAGGCTTGGCAATGGAGGGTCACAGTGTTAAACAAGAAGAAGAAGAGCCAACATCTACTGAGAATGTCCTACATGCCTGGCACAGGTCATTTAGCTAGCAATCTTTAATGCCTTCCTCCTCTAAGGAATTAGCGGTATTTACAATCTGTTGAGTACCTCTCATGTGACAGGTGAAGTGCTCATAGCATACATCCTTTATTTAATCTTCACAGCAATGCCTCTGACCTAGATGATCACCATCCATTATACGGATAAGGTTAACTCCTCAAGGTCATGCAGCTATAAGCTGGTTAAACTAGAATCCCAGCCTATTTTATTTATTTGTTTACTTCTTTAGGCTTGGGACAGTAGAAATTTATTCTCTTACTATTCTGAGGGCTACCAGTCTGAAATCAAGGTGTCAACCGAGTTGCTTCCTTCTGCATGGCATTGCAGGACTAACTGGCTATGCCTGAGAGTTTGGAGGTTGCCAAGGATATGAAGTATTTCTGATTTAAGTGCCAATCTCCTGCTAATTCTTGGTTATCTTCTTGTCTACCTCATATACTCAGGCAATACTTACTAGAAGCATAAAATCTTCAAGTGTGAGTGTCTTGCCAGAGGCTAGGAAGGGTATTAAGATGGGAGTGATAAAGGGGGATGGTTAATGGGTACAAAAATATAGTTCAATAGCTAGATAGAACAAACAATATTAGCTAGCACAACAAAGTGACTATAAAAAAGAGTATAGTTTAAAATAACTAAAAGAGTGGAACTGGAATGCTTCTAACACAAAGAAATGATAAATGCTTGAGATCATGGATACCCCAGTTACTCTGATTGAATTAATACACAGTGTATACCTACAAAAAGAGTTAGTGCCTTATAGTACTCCTTGATACTGAGTCAAACTAACCTCAGGCTCCTGTTGTCCCATCAAGGCAATGAGGCTGGCAATAATAGCCAATTTAATCCTCCATATTCTTGGGCTATAACTGGTGTTTCAATATAGGCCTCAGTGTTTCAATATAGGGCTGAGTACATTGGATACTTTGGGGAGAGGGAGGGGAGGGGAGGAGGGAGGATGGGTAGAGGGAGGGTGATTGGTGGGGTTATGCCTATGGTTCATTTTATAAGGGTACATGTGAATCTTTCTAAATGTAGAATATAAATGTCTTAACACAATAACTAAGAAAATGACATGAAGGCTATGTTAACCAGTTGATGAAAATATTTCAAATTGCATATAAAAACAGCGCACTTACCCCACGACTGTATTAATGTACACAGCTATGATTTAATAAAAAAATAAATTATTCAATTAATATTCATGCAAAAAATAGCCAATTTAATTGAAAAATTCTCTACCCTCTAGCCATTCAACACACTACCTGCTGACACTGTGTCTCTATGATTACTATTTCTTGGATTTATACCCTGAATTTGACCCCAGTGCTGCTCACAGATTTCTCCTTGCTCCAGATTCTCATTCAAGTATTTGGACCTAGGCTCTTCTCTTTTTTTTTCTTTGCTTAGGGTGTTGCTTTAGCTCAATAATCTCTTATTCCAACTCCTGCTCTGTTTGTCATTTGACCTCTGCTTTGGCCTCAGGATCTCTGGCATGAGCAGTATTGAAGTGTTTGATCAGTCATATGTTACTGTTTTAAAACTGAATCTCAAAATTTTGACTACAAAGAACAGTGGGTAGTTCTTGACTAGGCTATGTCCAAGTGTCTCATTCAGAGTTACAAATTGCATCTCTCCCACCCCCTACCTGGGACAGATGTCACTAATTAGTCACAGCTTACCCTATTCTCCTTACTCACTCAAGCTGCAGCCTCACAACTCTTCTCAAGACACCATTCTAGGCAGTCACCACCACTTGATGGCAATTGCAATGTGGGGTGGAAATGATTTGCCATGCCCACTCATACATCTTGACAAAAGTCACCTGTTCTTCCTACAGCTCAGGTATGTTGTGTAAACATGGGGAAAGTCAACCAATTAGTGTCCTCAGACTTCATCCTGGTTGGCCTGTTCAGTCGTTCAGGGTCACCTCAGATTTTCTACTCCCTGGTGGCTGCCATGTTTATCCTGGGCCTTGTGGGCAATGCCCTTCTGCTCTTGTTAATCCGAGTGGACTGCCACCTCCACACACCCATGTACTTCTTGCTCAGCCAGCTCTCTCTGTTGGACATTGGCTTCCCCCTGGTCACCATCCCCAAGATGGCATCTGCTGGGAGAAGATTCCATCTCCTTTGGTGCATGTGCAGCTCAGGTCTTCTTCCTGACGCTCATGGGTATGGCTGAGGGCATCCTGTTGGCGCTCATGTCTTATGACCGTTATGTTGCTGTGTGCCACCCATTGCAGTATCCTGTGCTCATGAGAACCCAGGTGTGTCTGCTCATGGTGGGCTTCTCCTGGCTAGCTGGTGTGCTCAACGCCTCTATCCAGACATCTGTCACCCTGCACTTCCCCTACTGCACCTCCCGCATCGTAGACCACTTCTTCTGTGAGGTGCCAGCCCTGTTGAAACTCGCCTGTGCAGACACCTCAGCCTATGAGCTGGCGCTGTCCACCTCGGGGGTGCTGATTCTCCTGCTGCCACTTTGTCTCATCACCACCTCCTATGGCTGTGTGTTGCAGGCCATCGTGAGCATGCGTTCAGAGGAGGCCCGACACAAGGTCTTTGCCACCTGCTCCTCGCACATCTCTGTAGTGGGACTTTTCTACTGCTCAGCCGTGTTCATGTACATGGTACCTGGTGCCTACCACAGTCCGCGCCTGGACAATGTGGTCTCTCTCTTCTACAGCCTTGTCACTCCAACACTCAACCAGCTTATCTACAGTGTGAGGAACCCTGAGGTGCATGTAGCTTTCATCAAAGCCCTCAGCAGAGTTGGACTCAAGTAAAAGTGAGAACTGCACAGGAAACTGGTGGCCTGATCCCAGTGGTCTACCCTCCGAAACAGCTTCCTAAAGCTTTACTCTTGGTGTTGCTGCTGAGGCCTGTGTCCCAGGATAATGGTCTGACCAACTTTGTCAGAATGCCATCCCTGGGGCCCCCAGGGGATTAAAATTTCAATTTCTTCTCACAGATTTGAGGAAAGCAATGGTAATATTCCCAGCCGTGTTTACTATATTCTTCCCTAGCCTTGTTCTACTTGCATGACGGGCCATCCTAGATTGTCATGTTGGAATATTCATGTCAGTGAATTAGTAATTACAGCAGTAGAAATCAACATTTTTTGGCAAAGAAATCCTTATGGCCCTGACAAGAGTGCAGCCATTTTGGGAAACAGCTATTGGGAAGGAGCTGGCCAGAAACCAAACTTCATGTTCACAGCAAATCCTCTATCCAATCTCTGGAATGCTTCAAGGCTGGTGTTCTTGGGAAACAACAGAATATAACTTTCATTTTGGCCTTGGCTGGTGGCCAATTAAGGGAGTAACTACTAGATTTGCTCTGAGGGCAAAAATTAGTTCCTCTGAAAAAGGGATGATGGCTTCTGGGAACCCCCCTTCTGCATTCAACCCTACTGATAAGGGATAATAAAAGCCCCTTGAAACTGTGTGAGAGCTGAGTTGGCTCCTGGTCAGACTCCACTCTACTCTTTTTCTTTTCTTTCTTTGCTAGTAAAGCCTTCCCAGTTCCTGGACTGGCCTCCTATCCTTTTAACAGACCCTTCCCCTAGACCCTACACCTAATCCCCTCACATTTGTTAAACATGTTGATCTCAGTTTTAATTTTTATTTATTTATTTTCAGACAAGGTCTCACTCTGTCACCCAGGCTAGAGTACAGTGGCCCCATTATATCTTCCTGCAACCTCACACTTCCAGACTCAAGAGATCCTTCTCCCTCAGCCTCCCCAGTAAGTGGGGCTAAAAGTGCCTGCCACCCTGCCCAGCCAATTTTTATATTTTTTGGTAGAGATGGGGTTCCTTAGACTATAGATAAAGAGGTTGAGTGTGGAGTGACAAGAGAATCTCCCTCTTGCTCAGGCTGATCTCCAACTCCTGACCTCAAAGGATCTTCCCATTTGCGACTCCCAGAGTGGTAGAATTATAGGCCTGATCCATCACATCCAGCCTATGGAATCTTCTTTTGATATTTCCTGTGGGTCAGGGTAGCTTTGCCTCCCTATCCATTTCATATCCCATAATAGTGATATTCATTTTCTGCTACACTCTATTTATCCATTCACTGAAATAATTATTTTTATATGTGTCTTATACATTTTACAAAATAAATAGACTTTTATAGAATATCTTGTGGGGGTTGTTACCCATAACTTGTTGAAACTATGAAAAGTGAGATAAAGGGAAATGTACAAGATATTATGATGAAGTTTCTGATTATAATTCCTACATAATTGTCCAAAGAGATCCAGAATTGTCCTCTGGATTTCTATCTGCAAAAGGCTCTTTAAAAGTGCAAATTGATATCACTTGAGAAACACTGAGAGAAACTTGAAAATAACCTGGTGAGACATTATGAACGGATTTGAGAATGTTTTCAGATTCTCTGTGTGTGTGTGCTGCCTGCAGTGATCCGGGGAGACTCCTTTGCCTTGTGGAAGTCTATTTCTGTCCCCTTGCTGCAGGCTTTAGCATCTTTTTCTTAGTCCAGTCCTGCTCAAGAGAAATGTGCCCCATCTCAGCCAAGAAGACAATTTCTGCTTCCCAGCCCTATGAGTCCATTCCCAGCCAATCAATAGACTTACTTCCCTATCTGTTGGTTCACCAAGCCACCATAGAAACCATGCTCAAATTCTCCAGGAGGTGGAATTAGGAAATTTCTGCCATATTTTAATATTTAGCTACTTGTTGCAAACAAAGCAAAACAAAAATGTGCCCTACAAATGTACAGCTGTGCAAACCCATTAAAGTAATCACAAATAAAATTTTTTGTTTGCAGATTTTTTTGGCTGGGGCTGGGTTTGAACCTGCCACCTCTGGCATATGGAGCCAGCACCCTATTCCTTTGAGCCACAGGTGCCAACAAATAAAACTTTTTTAAAAAAGATTTTTATTCAATCCAGGAAATATAGACATAATAATCAACAGAAATAAATCCACATTATAATGTTAATTTTGGCCATATGTGCATATGTAGAAATAGATTTCACAAGATTAACAGTTCTGAACTAATTTTTACACAGATATGTTGTGGCAATATAATATATTCAAGTGTTTCAGAGGCTGAATTGCCCCTCAGTTTATAGAATTGAATTTACAAAGAAAAATTAATTAAATGTGAAATGCTGGCCAACACGACACAGCATTTTTTGTACTTCTCCAGAGTCTATTGCCTCTCTGTCCCATGAGGTATAGCAAGTTCTACTCAGAGACACACTCCCAAAGCAGCAGGTGTCCATGACTCTGAAATGAAGCATCTCTAGTTCTTCTCTGGGGCATGAAAGCTCCTGGCTCATCAGCATTGGAAGGGACGTCTTCAGGCATTGCTAGTTGGCCTGCAATAGACCTTGTGGCAAAGTCTGGGTCCTGGGCTGAGTGAAAGATGAAGAGGCCTTAGGGCAGAGCTGGGCCTGTTGAGTAACTACAAGCATTTACTTAACACTGCTGAACTATGCATTTAAAAAAGTCTAAGATGGTAAATTGTGTGTGATGTGCATCTTACTACACTTTTTTTAAACTACAAAAAGGGAAGGAGCTCAGTGCCTGTAGATGGTTCACACTAAATGTTAATTAACTTTTCTGAGGATATGGACATCATTGTGGTTAAGTTTGGCACTTATGCGGTGCTAGCTCAATGGGTGTTATCTATTCCAAAATCATAGTGATTATGGTCATTCCCTAAAATTGTTTGGTGGTCACGGTTGCACAACACGATGAATGGACTTAATGCCACAGAAATTTACCATTAAAATCATTAAACAGTAAATTTTATGTTATGTATTAATAGAGTTTACACCAAATCACATAAAATCATTGAAAGGATGACATAGATAAGAATACTAAAATGATGGAAAGACCCCTGTTGTCAGGCATTTCTGATGGAGTCACATCTGGATAAACTGATCCTAAGATCAAAATTTCTTTAGTCAAAAATGCATTTGATCACCTAACCTTCAAACATCCTAGCTTAGCCTAGCCTACCATTAACGTGCTCACAATACTCACATTGGCTTAAAATTGGGCAGAATCTTTTATCACAAAACCTATTTTTTAAACAAAGGATTGAAAACTGCACATAAGTGATGAAATACTTGACTGAAAGTGAGAAAGCGGTGACCCTACAGTTTCTACTGAATGAGTATTACTTCACACCACCCAGAATTCAAACGGTCATCCTGGAGAGACCTGTCTGCAATATCAAACCTACCACTCCAGTAATGATGTAGTATGCCAAGGCACAAAATGCCATTTCCTTCTGGAAATACATTTTTGAACATTCTTTCATTAATGAGCATTAGACCTTTTTCTAATTTTTTGTATTGAAACCAGCACTGCATGACAAATTCCTGAACATAGAAACTTGTGCTGATATTATCGTAGACTATCTTGCAAGATATCAAAATAGATTAAAAGAAAAGCTATTTAACATGTTGATGGGAACATGAAATGATGCACACACATCTAACAGTGTCAGGAACCCCATATTTGTGTGTCTCTGGTAGATTTAGGAGCCCTTAATATCCCATAGATGTGAACAGGATATCTCTTACAGATTGTCGGCAAAGTGAAATATGGACTCTGTTCCACCATACACTGGGAATCATATACAAATAAGACTGTGTTTTCCAGCAAACCACAGGCTGTCTGCATCTCAAGACAATTGTGTAAGCCATAGGTACAAGTGTTAACCAGGTTTTAGTACGAATGTATTCAGGTCTTTACTTCTATTACAGAGCATAGGTTATTCCTTAACTAAGGTCCTCAGTTTTTTGTTTTCCGTGCCCCTAAAATTGAAACTGAACGAGGGAGGTAACTTTGCCGTGTTTATTTCTGATTCATGAGTGCCAGTACATTCTTTAGACATAGGACATGCTCTACGAACAGGCCAGCTGAATAATTTCATCAGCTATTGGGACAGCTACAGGAAAGAAAGGGAGAGTGTTCACATTTTTGCAAATGCAAGCAAAGTAAGTGGGATGGACTGAATGGTGTCCCTTTCCACAAATACCTGCAGAAGATGGAAACGAAGTGTTTCAAGGAAAGGTGTGTTGATAAGGTTTCATTGTCTTTTATGAACTGGAGAGTACATTTCTCCAAATTGTACCTAGTTCATGTTTTTTTTCTTTTGGAACAAAATATCGCCGTGTCGCGCGCTTAGAGTACCATGCTGTCACAGCTCACAGCAACCTCGAACTCGTGGGCTTAAGCGATTCTCTTGCCTTGGCCACCCAAATAGCCGAGACTACAGGTACCTGACACAATGCCCGGCTATTTTCTTCGTTGTCATCGTCATTGTTGGTTAGTGGGCTTGGGCCAGGTTCAAACCTGCCAGCCCCAGTGCATGGGGCTAACGCACTAACCACTGAGTAATGGGCGTGGGACCATTTTTGCTCGGTTTATAGTTGAGAAGTAGAAGGGCAGAAGAATCAGAGAATTAGTGGACAATTTTTTGGACTGCAATAGCATATTGCTTAAAGAATGTCTTTGCACAGTAAATGTTTTGTAGAAATGATGAAACTGTTCACAAAACCCATGGTGAGTGTGCAGGAATGAATTTCTCAAGGAACAGAGATGGCTGCCCACACCCTAGGGAGGAGCCCCCTCCTCCCTCCCCCCCACCACACACCCACACACACACAACCACAGAGGCACCTCCGCAAGTTCAGTACAATTTTCCATCAGGCCATGCCCAAACTTTCCTCAGTATTTCTCACATGTATGAGGTGGCCTTTGGGAAGAACCTTCCCTGTTGGTCTCCCAGTAGGAAGGCAG